GCACATGTGCCTAGTCACCACAGGGATGATGTTGTAGCCGCAACCATACATTTACTAAACCGTATGCCTTCGAAAGTCTTAAACTTTGAGATTCCATTAAAGGTTCTTTCTAAGCATGTCCCTTTGCCCACTGTTTTGATGATTCCTCCCTAGATTTTTGGTTGTGTTGCCTTCGTTCATCTTCATAACATCAACGCACTAAGTTGGATTCGTGTGCAATGTGTAGTCTTTTTTTGGGGTATGCCTTACATAAAAAAGGGTATCAGTGCTACAACCCCATCACCAAACGTAACTACATCACTATGGATGTTACTTTTCTAAAGTCAGACACTTTCTTTGCATCATCAGCATCCAATTCATCTCTTCAGGGGGGCTCCGAGATGAAGAGCCAAATTGGTTGGGTGCTGAATGGCCAGGATTTGAAGATAACTTAGCACAACAAAATGATGGAAACAAAATGATAGAGCTGAATGTTGAGATGTCTTCAGGAGTTGATATGTCTTCAAGAGCATCGAAATCTGGAAATGCAGAATCTAAAGAATCCTCTAGAAATGAATCCCCTCACTCCTCAGTACCCAAAGACCCTTCTCCTAAGAATATTCCTGAGATAAGCTCTCCTACCACACCTTCACACACTGATGCCTTGGATACTTCTAGGGGTTTTGTTTTATCTTTCAGACACAATCCTGGCAAGCCACCAAATTGATACTTTTCGGACGTGGAAGAAAAGAGGTACAAGTATCCAATTGCCAATTATGTGTCTACTCAAAGATTATCTGAACCTCTCAAGGAATTTGTGCTTAAGTTATCCCCGTGCCATATTCCTAGTAGCGTTGAAGAAGCTTTATTAGACCCAAACTGGGCCCAAGCTATAAAGGAAGAATTTGAGGCTCTACAGAAAAATAAAACTTGAACGTTAGTCCCACTACCTAAAGGAAAGAAGACGGTGGGATGCAAATGGGTTTTTCCATTAAATACAAGGCTGATGGATCCATCAATCGATACAAGCTGACGTTCATGTCAAAGGAATATACACAACATACAACATAGATTACCGGGAAACTTTCTCAAGAATGGCCAAATTAAATACTTTTAGAGTTTTGTTGTCTCTTGTAGCAAATTTAGACTGGTCATTGCTCCAGTTTGATGTAAAGAACACCTTCCTCCATGCAATCTCGAAGAGGAGGTTTACATGGATATTCCACCATGGTACACTGCATCTTCAGAGGCGAATATTGCATGTAAGCTGCAACGATCTTTGTATGGATTGAAACAATCACCTCGGGCATGGTTTGGTCAATTTAGTTCGACTACGAGGAAATATGGCTTTCAACAAAGTAACTCGGATCATACCCTCTTCCTAAAACACCAATTGGAAAAAGTGACAACTCTAATAGTCAATGTAGATGACATAATTATTATAGGAGATGGCACAGAAAAGATCTCTAGACTTCAAGAGCAATTGTCAACCAAATTTGAATGAAGAACCTGGGAGGACTTAAGTATTTTCTAGGAATTAAAGTAGCTAGATCGAGACAAGGCATATTTCTTTTTCAAAGAAAATATGTGCTAGACTTGCTGTCAAAAGTAGGATTACTAGAGTGTAAGCCAGTTGATATTCCAATTGTTCAGAATCATAAACTTGGAGAATATTCAGATCAGGTGTCAGCTGATTAAGAGAGGTACTAAAGGTTTGTTGGTAAACTCATTTATTTATCTCATACTCACCCAGATATTACTTACGCTGTTAGTGTAGTGAGTCAATTTTTGCCTTGTCCTAGTGAAGATCATATGGATGCAGTAATTCGGATTCTTCGTTATTTAAAGTCCTCTCCTGCAAAAGGGCTTATGTTCTCCAAGAATAATCATCTGAACGTTGATGGCTACGTGGACGGTAACTGGGCAGGAAATATTTTAGATAGGAAATCCACTTTAGGCTACTTCACTTTTGTAAGAGGAAATCTAGTCACATGGAGAAGCAAAAAGCAAAAAGTAATAGCATTATCTAGCACTAAAGCTGAATTCCAAGGAATGGCTAAGGGTGTTTGCGAACTTCTTTGGCTTAGAAGGCTGCTAATTGAGATTGGCTTTGCTCCTAGCTCTGAAATGAACTTGTTTTGTGATAACAAGGCAGCCATTGACATCTCTCATAATCCGTCTAACATGATTGTACTAAGCACGTTGAGGTGGATCGGCATTTCATCAAACAAAACCTTAAAGGAAAAATTATTCGGTTCCCTTTTGTCAAGTCAGAAGACCGGTTGACAGATATACTCACAAAGGCAGTGTCCAACAAAAACTTCTACAACTCACTCGACAAGTTGCGCAATAGAGACATTTATGCAACAACTTGAGGAGGAGTGTTGGTGTGAGCTGTTAACTAGGAACAAAATAGAGAAATTATAGGAACCATTTAATTGTAAAATCTCAGAGCTGTTAACTAGGAACAAAATAGAGAAATTATAGGAACCATTTAATTGTAAAATCTCCTTCTTCAAGGGTCAACCACGATTCTAGCCATAGACAATGTGTAGCTTAGAATAACTCCCTAAACTTCCTCTCTATGTCTATATATCTTCGTACTCGGTTCTGGAGAAAAATACAACAGAAAAAAACCCTTTTTTTAACAACCTGAGGGGTGCGTTAAAGATGATCGAAGTCTACCCACGACAGTGTTGAAGTGTATTGGGGAAAGGTTAGTGAAGTGGATGTAGGCACCGATATTGGGGGTTGTTGGCAGCCAGTAGGGTTTAGGGGAGTAAAGGTTGACGAATGGAGTTTTGCCTTAATGTTGCCTTTCTTTTTGTTTTTTGTTTTTTTTTTGGTTTTTTGTTTTTTTAAGGCTTATTTTGTTTTTCATTTTTGCCCTATGTTTTGAAAGCACAATGACAAAAATGTTCATCATTACTATCATGTGTCAGACATGTGACATTTTTTGTCTCTTTTTTAGATGGTAATTAGTGTCAAGGACCACATTAGTCGAATGTGTAACTTTGAGGATCAAATTGATGAAAATAAAACTTTGAGGACTAAAGTATGATTAACTAAACCTCAACGATCATTGGTGTAATTTACTCGTGGCTACATTTGTCCTCTACAGGGATTAACTAGGGAATATATTCGTTCGTCCATGCGGTGACTCCACAGAGAATGCCACTCCAATGAATAATAAACCGCCCATTTTTTCTGTCTTTTCTGACCTTACTAAGGAAACATTTAAATATTTGTTCCATAAAAATTTCTTGAGAGTCTAAAAATTTTAGATGTAACGATTTTTGGCAGTTTTTAAAACTCGAGCATTTGTCCCCTCTGATCTATTATTCCTTAAATAAAGTTCAATTAATTGTGACAAGTATTTTAGAAAAATAAAATTTCTCGATGTTTCTCTCAAGAACCCATCTTTATGACTTTTGTAGATTGCCCGTAGTAGTGAAAATTATAACCATCAATTATTTATTATCTAGACAAATAAGTTAACAATATTGCCTGCTGTGGTGGCCTATTGTGGTAGGAGAGTTTCATACCTACGGTTTTCACTGAGCTAAGAGTTCAATTGAGATAATTGCACTTAGAATTTGGTAGCACCACTCTCAATGGTTTACCTCTTATACCCAAAATTAGAGTGTTTAAATTTTTGATTATTCATAAATTTCGATCTTATTCTACCTTATCCTACTCTATTAATTAGTTATTCAAAAAATTCAGGTAAGACAACAGAAAAATTTCTGCTATTTCACAAAAAATCATGTAAGAATGTGAAATACTTACAAAATTTTCGTATTTCTATTCTACCTTACTCTCTCACACACACACACACACACATATATATTAATCCCTAAAAATTAAAATCTAAAAATTTAGAAATCCTAATGTTTTATTGATATTTATGACTTTCTTATATATAATGTATTGATATTTATAACTTTTTTATTGTGTTTTATTGTTTATATGTATTATCAAATTTATTGTGCTTTCTTTATTGTTATTGGTTTTTTGTGTTAGTTAATTGATGCAAGTTATTTAATTAACTTGTTAAAATAATTCAAAAATTAATAACTAAAAAATATGTATTCACCTTACTTATTTTGGACAAAATTCAGATAGAAATAATACACTTAATCGGGTACGGTAGGCAAAAAAAAAAAAAAAATCTTCCACAAAATATTAAGTAGAAAGATAAAATACTATAATTCTTACCCGTAGGATAATGTGAACACTCCTATTCAAAACTTTCAAATTGTTGCAGTTAACCATGGACCAATGAAATTCATTTCCTCGCGTTCCCTGTATCGAAAACCAGTCATAACAATATTTTCCTAATCTTCTTCTGGCCTCTAAAATTGATTGTCATTTTTCAAGAATTGTTATCTCCCACTTGAAGGGTTACGAAGACTGCAACTCATGGACGACATTATCCGGTCTTGTGATGACTCCAACTCCACGGAGCATGCCACTAGCAACTGAAACCAGAAACCAAACATTATATTGCATGAATCTAAATCAGTCTTTCCTTTTTCTCTTCTCAATATGCTCTTGAGAATGAGTCATGTGGTTGATACATGACCAGACCTCTTACCAGTATATTCGGCTGTTTGAAGCTAGACCACCTAAACAGAATAAAAAACAATAGGGACCCAATTGATTAAATTGAAACATTAGGGACCAAAAGACAAAGAACAAGTAATTTAGGGACCACAACTGTATTTAGTCCAAGAAAAAACTATACTTTGAATTGAAGGAGTTGTAATTTTGATATTAAACGACAAGTGGTGTCCAGAGGAAACTTTAGTAAGCCGAAAAACTCATTCAGAATTTGAACATACATTTCCACCTAATGAAGCAACACAAATTATTTAGACTACTAGCCTAGTGAACAATTCCTTCAAAGGGACGCATTACAATCAGCAAGTGGATTTGCAGAATAGAAGGGCAATTGCAAATTGAGATGAACTAAACTATTGCCAATAGATGTACTAAACTATTGCCAATAGATGTACTAATTACAAGAGGGTCTCCAGAATTGCTAAGATTGCCAAACCAGCAGCCCAGACATCATCGTCCAGAACATACTCTGCAGGAGAATGACTCACGCCTCCGCGGCAACGCACAAAGAGCATGCCAACCTGTTGAAATACAGGCAGGCTTTCAGTACGAAGAGAACTACACATCTCAATCTTTATCTAATCAAGAAGAACAAACCTTGGCTATATGAGACATGGCCATCACATCATGTCCTGCTCCACTCATCAGGACAGGCACATTATCTACATCCTCACCTGTCATTCTCTTTAGAGCAGAGTAAGCGGCAGATTTCAGCTGTGAACTCAATTCAGTATCACAAATCACCGCATTGGCATCATGCTGAAACGATGACAGCCAGGGTGAGTCATGAGTTACCTTGGCAGTACAAGTAACGCAAGAAGGATAGCAAACGTCACACCTTACGTTCAATGATACAAGCAACAGAACGTCGATCACATATTTGGTACACCCTGTTAGACAACTCGTAAATAATAGCCTCTCGTCCCATGTCATCCACTGCACGTATATCTACTGTGAATGTTACCTACATGCAGAAAGATTATTTTTTTAGTCCTGATGAGTAAGTGTACAATTTTATTATCATATAGAACATTGCCAATTCGTGGTGGTTGTATTGGGCAGCCTAAAGAGATTAAATACTTGCCTGCCCTGGAATGACGTTACTTGCGCTTGGCCAGGTAGATATCTCTCCAACGGTACAGACAAGAGATTTTCCAAGAGATTCCACCTCAATAGCACTGCACTGACCATCGTAGGATAGAAAATCTTTTGGATTTTTACAGAGACTTTCCAATAATACAATTAATTCTGCAGCAGCAGCCATGGGATCCTGACGCATAGACATGGGAACCGTTCCAGCATGCCCCTGTGAACCTCTCACTGTTACCTGCAAAGTGAGTCCATATAATCCTCTCATTTAAATGATAAACATGTAAATAAAACAAACAGATATTTGATATGTACTATGTTTGCTGACAGAAAAAATAGGCTAAGCTTGTAGTCCTCAATTTTTGAGCAAAATCATTTTCTCAAATTCTTACAATTGCACTATATAAATATTGACAGAGAAAAATGCTAATCAAGGGGATAAATAAAATTAGAATTATTCTTGTCCTTAAAAGGAAGAGTTGCCTCCAAAATTTCATTCAACAACAAAATGACATGATATACAATTTTCTTTATTTTCAACTGGTACTATGTCGAGGAGTAACAACTAGGCAACATAATAAGCAGAAAAAAAAGGACAAAACAATGCAAAATTCTACCAAAAAAAAAAAAAAGGCTTGATTGTATATCATTAACTGGTAAATTGTTTGTCATTATATTCAAGAACTCCAGACTGCGAATTAGTTAAAAAAAAAAAAGGTGAAGTTAGCCAAAAGGTCCTTTTATATTTGTCACTTGTTTTATAGTGGCAAACAAAGAACCTGCTCTGACAAGTTTAGCTTAAAATTTATTTGTTTGACTAAATATATATCTAACAACCTTTAAATAAGAAGGCTTAAAGAAAAATGCTTTTTTTTTTCAAATCTTTTCTTTTAATTTTCATTTAGCTAGGTTTAAGTTGAACTATCAGCTGTCATATTTCCATATCAAGACGAGGAAAATCATATTTTTACCAGTCCAGGGTTAAACAGAAAAGACTGTCGGGCTGTCAGCAAAAAAGGAAGCACCCAAGGCGGTGTACAGCATCCAAAGGCTTAGTTCTAGAACCCATCAAGACAGTGCAGGGATCACCAGTAATGATCTTTAGCTAAGAGATGTGTTCAAGGGTCCTAACACAAATGCAATTCAGGATTTTTTTGGGGCCAAAAAGTATAAATAAATGTGTTTGATAATCGAATACAATATTGTAAAGATTGTCACAAACAATAAGAGTCGATGTTGAAGACTAGAGCTTTGACAGTGCAAGCTTCTTCGTCCCCAATAAATAGAAGCCAAAAGAGGATATGGAGTAACCTCAACAGAAACTGGAAAATGGCCACAAGAGACCTCCAGAAGCTCAAATGTGAAGATCTGGAGACCATAACAAGTTAAGGAGTTACATCAACATCAAAAGGTGTGGAGTAAATTATTTAGGCCAAAACTAGGAAGAACGTATAAACATAGGTGGATACAGATTGGTCACTGGTGTAAACATAAATTAAAACCGAAGAGGTTTGCCTTGTACCTGATATGTGCAACAGGCTAACTCGAACCAGGTTATTACCTTGTAGCTTGTAGAGTCCTGAGGAAATAATTCCTGAGGGTCGCTCTCACTCTCCTATTCTGAGGATGGAAGCCATAAAATTCATCTACCTAGCGAGAGTTGGTTCCTTGAGCGGGGGTTATACATTGATGTGCAGTATTAGTGTCATGGAGTGTGAAAATTATAAACTCAGGTTCACAGATTGAATCAGTATGCTGTTTCTCACCCCAAATCCTTGTCTTATTGTAGGATTTTGAGCTTTCATATTGTGATGTCACATCCCTCTAATTTGAATTGTTCTTGTCTTTCTTGGGGGTCGAAATTGGGATTTTCTTCGCCGGAAAACTAAGATTGAAATAATGGATTAGGAGTAAAAGGAAATCTCATATGGATGATACTATGACCTCAGATATGGCTGCATGTATAATTCTGTTTTGTTTCTCTTCTCTCCTCATTTCCCCTCCTTACGGTATTTCAAATTTCTTATGCATATTCATAGAAAGACATCATCAGCTAGTAATTCCAGAACCTATCTGTTTGAATTTTGAGCTTTCATACCATGATGTAACACCAGTCTAATTTGTTTGAATTGTTCTTTGATTGGAATTTCTTTGTTGGAAGAAGAAGAAGAAATTATGGATTACAAGTTGAAGTAACCTTTAGATGACTGATACTATTTTCCCTCCTCACTGCGTTGACATTCTCATCTCCTTTACATTTATGTCGCTTGTGTGGACTGAATTTCAGAAGGTAAGTAGCTAGATTCATAAAAAGACATTAGTAGTTATTGATTCCTGATTTTAAGTGTGATACTCTTTTGAATTTTAAGTCATCACCATTCTCCTTGACTTTGATTTCCTTTTCAATTGATTTATTTTTATTATGTTAATTATATTCTATTTTAGTTGAGGTCCTGATATTACACTTTTGTTTTCTTAATTGGCATCCTAATGTATTAGCTGGAAAATATAGATACATGTATATAAAACCCAACAAAAATTATACATTCATAGGCACTCTATGGGACCTCTTGCTGTGAGTAAATTTCAAGCAAAGGCCCACTCCCACCCTTGTTCCCGCTATTGATTGGACCCTTGTCTCCACTCTGAGTGACAAAGGCAGGGAGGTTATCATCTTCTTCACCCGCAAAGACTACTAAGTTGCACGTAATAAGGCATCACCAAAATTCTCTCAAAACTAAATATATTCAAATGTGATAGCAAATCAGGTTATGAACCAGAATACATGGATCCAATAATGATGGAACTGATAAATTTGAAAATGCTGGTTGTGATGCCATAAGAATCACAAATGAAATTGTTTTCTAAACCGACTGCTTAAAACTACAGGAAAATAAGAGGTAGTTTATAAGCTAATAGCCACTCCAGCACAAATGAACCAAAGCAGAAGGTGTCCTACATTTGAACTTTTATCCTAGAGTTCATGCATCTATAACCTTCTTTTCCTATGATTACGCCACACCAAATGAGAAGAATTTTTTTAGCTGTGCGGCATTAATGATAACTACCTTTAGTCGAGTCTGTCCAGCAATGCCTTCCACCACACCAAGTGGAAGACCAGCTGATTCTAGAACAGGTCCCTGTTCAATGTGAATCTGCAGCATGCAATTAAAATAAGAGCAGAATGAGCATACCGCTAATCATAAATTTACCAGCTAAATTTCTTAGTTTGGTAAATGCACTCGAATACTATAATTATAGATTGAGGTACCTCAATGTAACCCCAAACAGATTCTGGATCATACTTGAGGCGCAATAAGTTTTCCTCATTAGTTTCTATAGAATTCTCCTTCAAAACATGTTGGACTGTCAACCCACTGAACAATGTTTATGGATAAATGTAACGATAATTGACAGAGGTAAAAATGGATATAAGCTTTGAGTTACTAATGGAAACCTCTTATCGCGAATGTGCAATGCCGATACAGGTAACACACCAGCAATAGCTGCACTTCCTAGAAAGGTAGATTGAAACCTAACTCCTTCCTCATCACTGAAAGCAATCACCTGCAAGGTTCAAAGGGCCAGCAGGACAAGAAGAATTCATCTTCATACTTAGGAAAAGACTGCAACTGATTCCATTTTCAACTTTTAAATTAGCAATTAATGAAGACCCCACAACAAATAACACTGATAATAGCCATAATAATACGAGGGAAATACTGTTCATACTTTTCCATTAAAGTTTGAGGTGGTTCTGCTGCAACATGGCAGATGGTTGTTAAGTCAATTAGTTTGTGAGTTTGTGAACAATGATTAACTGTCCAATCATTCCATTCCATCAAATTTTGCAATCCATTTACTTCACTAAGGTAAATGAATAGTATAACTGCTTGCAAGGTATTAACACCATGTGTGCAGTTATAAAATTGTAGAATTTTCTGAACTCTCAGGCAACCCAGTTACTTAAAAAGTACACTCCCGGATAATTAAAACTTGGACATCACTTCTGACTCACATGGCAATTGCAATCCATAAATGACGCAATATTGCAATGAATCACTCAACCAACTTTTCTAGAAGCAATAACTATGGTAAAGTGGGTTCTGACCTCAACCGGGCGCCTTAGTTTCTTTAACCTCCCTGTGATGTTCAAAACCTTCAATGCGGATAAGGCAGAAAGTATACCTAGAGAACCGTCAAAAATTCCAGCATCAATGACTGTGTCCTGTAAAAAACCCACCACAATCAACTATCAGTTTGTATTCATAATACTGCAAGAAATTTGGTAAACAAAACCTAACATAAAAAAGGTGGAAAATTAGATTGCTTCACCAAATGAGAACCCATTAGCAGAGCCTTGCCATTTGTTTGCATTCCTTCAGTTCGACCATGCACATTGCCCATTTGGTCCATCCACCTGGAAATAAAAAATAGTGTCAGTTGATCCCATCAGTGAGGGCCAATCGGGGTGGTCTCTCGGCGCTCTCTTTTGCCCCCAACCCTTTTTTTTAATTGCAAAAAAAAAAAAAAAAGTGCTAGTTGAGCTTCTTCTGAAACACGACAATAAAGTAGCAATAAATAGGCAGCTCACGTTGTCAAACCAGCATCCTCCATCCATGTACGAATAAGATTTGCTGCTCTGATAGAACCGGGGCTCAGGAACGTCCTTTCAAGATAGCCATCAGCATCACTAACCTGCCAATGCAGACAGCAGAATTACCAGTCACAAAAAACTGCTTTTGGATCTATAATACAGATGAGAACATTTTTTGACAAAGCATATATAATAGGATAATTGCAACTTAATTGCATGTTAGACCGCATGACATCCTACTCACCAAAATACTCAACGATCAATTTTCGATAAATAGAATCTAATTCCATTAATAATTATGAACTATAATAGTGGGCACCAATCTATTCTCCCACTAAATGTAGATAGGCTCCTGAAAATTCAATCACCAAGACCTTTAAGATTGCACTCTTTGTAGTCCTAGAACTAAAACTCAACCTGTGAGAAAATCCAAAAGTTGATCTGCAACATGCGCTTGGTACTTGCTCGAGCAACTCAAAATCCTATAGTGGTGTTGATTCAACCATGACTATTGCTTCATGTTCTTCTCATTCCCTTGCTCCCGCCATGGTGGCTGCTGATATCTCATCTTGGTCAAGTGGGGAGTGAGGGCTTAGGAAACCCTCTCTGTCACTTTGATTAATTCACAACATTATGCTTGTGTTAAAACGAAATGTCTCATCCAATCATATTCTATGATGTGGCCTACATAACTACCCCTATACTAGCCACCACTTATTTAATTATTCTTTTCAAAAATCAATTTTTATCATCTTCTAACTTCTCAAAATTCTCTTTCTTGCTTTCAAAATGATGTTTTTCATTATTTATTTATTTATTTATTTTTTTTTTTGGGGGGGGGGGGGGGTTGATACCAAGATCCATAGGTACCGGTATCACATATCTGAGGGTTCTGGTACCTCCTCCTAAAACTTGAAATTTTAAAATAAAACACTGAGTGACCTTCACTTATTAAGCATTCCTCTTTGGATGATGTAAATGGAAAATAATAAGACCTAATTGTTAAGGTTTGGACCTTTGAATGGTCTTGTGGTTAATATGTATACAGGATATGTGTTGGGTAGTGCTCCAGTACAAAATGGACTTTGCCCAAACTCTATTTTGGTTATGATCTTGGTGAATGGGATGTAACGATGTGGTATTGGGTTATACAGTACTCACATGTACTTTCGCAGGTTAATGAGTGACTAACGGGTTGAAAAATGACCATCGGATTTTAGGACGTCATAAAGTTTCGCGCAAATTGATTTTTGAGTCAAATTTAGTTTCAAAGGCATGCAAGCTTGATAAGGGTAACTAGATAGGTTTTTAAAAAAATTTAGGATAGAATAACGTTACAATGGAATCTTAGAGGTCACGAAACCTTAGACTAGGCATTCAACTAGTATAGTGGTCCAGATAGATGAGATGGTAAGTTTAGTGTTTCGAATACTTTATTCTTTAAAAGATTAAGAATGGTTATTAAGTGAGATATTAGTGATTTAAAGTGAATCTAAAGTGTTCCAAAATCACTTCAGATGGTTTTGGAGGCTTGAAGTTGAAGAAAAGAAGTTTAGAACCGTTCAAAGACTTAAAACACATTTTGGAGAGAATTCAGGTAAGAAGGAATTTGACACTATTTCAGTATTTTGGCTATAACTTCTTGCTTTTATGTTCGATTGAGCTGATTCTTGCTACATTGGAAAGAAGACTACAATGTCCACAAAAGTGTATTTGAAGAAAATTCCGCGAATCGACCTCCAACTAGGTCAAATTTGAGCTGAAAGTTTAGGGCTGAAAGTCACAAGAATCTGGACGAAAAAAATTGTGTCCGAACACACATGCAAACTCAGTCACAATCAGTTTTGCACTATTAACCTAATTTTGGCACTATTTAAACCCTAGGGGATTAGTTTTAGGGTTTCTTTACACGAGCTTCAACCCTAAGGAGTCTATGAGAGATTGAGAGAGCCAAAAGAGGAGAACGAAGAGGAGGAAGAGCAGATTGGGCTAGAACAAAAAGAGATCCACACATAGGAAATCACATTAAACACTTTAAGATCAATTTTCTACGAAATCAAGGTAGGATTTCTTTCACATTCCTATTCATTGAGGCTAGGGTTATTATGTATGTAAAGTTTGTCTCAAATCCATATACATATTATAGAATTATAACTGTTTTGAATTTCTTGCAAAAGTATAATTTGTTTTGTTGAAAAAATACCTGAATTACATCCGATGTGCATTTAAAGTCCATAAACTCTAGATTTTTGAATAATGCCTACTTGAAAATTTCTCTTTGCGATCTTATGCATATTTTATTGAAATTTCTCTTGCTTTAAGAATTATGGAAACTATGGTTTGTAAGATTTGCGATCTATGTGAAAAACATAATTTAAATCTTTTTATATTGGTGGACTAGTTGAATTTAATGCACTCGAACATATATTCAAAGTGCTTATATGTGTTTTTTACCTTGAGGGGTTTGAAAGTTTGGTTCCTTGCGAAGTACCAAATCACTATTTGTGCACGTTGGTTCAAGGATGAGTTTGTATATTACTCCGGCAAAGATTTTGTTAAATACTGATGCGTCAGTATACGTGCTTCTTAAAACAATATGACCTTGCAAGGATTGATTGAATGGTTTGTGTTCGTGGGGGTGGACCAAATATATTCGGTGATTGAATTCTTACTAATCAACCTACATACCTGAGATATTTCTGTTACAAAATTTTTATTTTCTAAATGATCCATTCTATGATGAAATTCCTTTACACATATCGAAACTTAAAATTGTTATTCATGTCACATGACTTACTTCAAAAATTATCTATTTTTATTTTGAAAAATTGAGACCTACCTATTTTTCTTATATTTGTAAACCTTGTTTAAGTTTGAGAAAGTTTTGTACTCACTCCTTAATTTAACATTTTTTAGATATTGGTGTTGTGGTTGGTATCAGCATAGGTGAGCATGTGGATTTGGATTTTCAAGTGGATGAGGATGTGGATCCACTTTTGAGGCCTAGTGGAGGAGGATTTTACTTATTTTAGCATTTCGTTTGATGTTGAGGATAAGCTATGGTTTACTATAATTGAAGTAGCTAGATATAAATTCCTTTTTAAATAATGCTGAGGTGTTTGGGTTGTACATTTTTTCATGGTTGAATTATTGTTTTAGGATATTTTGAAATTTTTATTAGATGATGCTGAATATTTTTGTTTTGACTCATTGAATGATATTATTAGTTGTGCTCTCATGATTTTAAGGGTTATTAATTAGATCACACCTGTTTATGAAAATGGGGAGTGACAATGACTCCCTGGAATAAATAATTGAAAACTAAGCTTCTACAACCCCGCACTGAATCCACTTTGGTTGATTGTGGGAGAGCCTACTTGATAAATGATAGAAGCTTTTGGGATATCACAATATCCAGATATTGCTTCCCGTCTTGGAGGAAAATCTGTAGGTTTAGGAATGATGTCAAGCCATTGTTCAGGCACAAGCAGGGAATGGTAGTGCTACTTGTGTTATGATTTCTGGTTTCCCAATGGTTTTATCCTTTCAAACATCAACTAAACAGTGCTTGATCTATGACTCTGGCCTTCCTAGAATGCCAAAGGTTAGCAGTGTAATTCAAGCAAACAAATGGGTGAGGCCTACTCCTTATACTCTATATGATGGAATTGATCAGTACAGATCAGTTCATATGATTCATGATGAGTCTAACACGATGTATTGCCTTGGAATCCCTCCCCAACTGGGGTCTTCTCTACCAGGACAGCGGTGGAAGTGCCAAGACAACATTAAACTTTTGTGGATTAGAATCATTTTGTTTGACTACCCAAAGCCTGTATTGATCCGTTGTGCCTCCTTTATGCTGTGGTTAGCTATTCATAAGACATTTAAGAACTCAAGACCAGCTGCTTAAAATTGGACTCCTCCAACATATTAGCTTTTTTTTTTTTTTTTTGTATAGATCTCATGTACAGTCCCAAGATCACCTGTTCTTCAACTTATTCTTCACCTACGTGATATGATATTTTATTCTAAAGAAGTGTGATATCAAGTGGCAACAATATTCCTAGTAGAAACTGTCCTTTGGGCCATGATGAATGCAAAAGGTTCCTCTTTGGATGCTTTTTTTACTGATATTTTCTCTCGATACACAGTTTACTATATTTGGTAGGAGAGAAATGTCATGTTGTACACAAAACCACTGCATAGATGTATGCACTATTGCCAAGGAGATTTTAGACCATATCAGATGCAAGATTGCAGGCATGTGGGGTTTCAATACTTCGGGAAGGAACGTCCACCTTGAAATACAATGGCAGCAACTCAACTGTTCATTTTATTGATCTTTGTTTGATGTTTTTTTTCTTTTTTTTTTCAGTATTCTAAATTGGTTCGGTAAATTGCTGCTCTTTGTAAAGTGCTGGGAAGCAATCTTCCATACCAGAAGTGTCTCAATCCAATGGTTTTTTCTGTGGTTCTCTCTTGGATTTCCTAAAGAAGGTTGTGTGCATCGTAGGCCATGCCAAGTGAAGCGGAAAATAATGTTTTATACACTACCATATTTGGACTGCATTTCCACCTTTCTCTATCTTTATATCTTTCCCTCCACACACACACACACACACACACATATATATAATGTTTTGCTAACCATATTAAATGGAAAAGAATGCACTTAGTTTCCAAATCTCCCCATAGATTTCATGATACAACATAGGTAATATAATTTAGTGACAACAATATTATATAATGGAGTCAAACTTGATACCTTCCCAAGTTCATTTAGTCTTGTCACTGCCTCATCCCTTAAGAGCTCTGGAAATAAATTACTTCTTGTCACTTCTATACCTTCGACACCTAATGAAATCATAGAGCTTGCACGTATTAAATCTTCATCCATTCTTGCAATCAAAGAAATTTTCATTCACTGCAATTCTATGTGGTTATCTTTCAGGATTACTGGAACATAATAGTTTGTCAATCCAACAACCATAAGAATGACACCACAGTGACATGTAGCACTTGAGGATATCATTACTTGCTCATGGTGGGTACATATAAAACCATGAGTTCCTTGTACACCATCTAAGGAGGGGAAAAAAGCGCTTATAATTTCCCACTAGTTTCAACACTGACCCTGCCATATCTTTCAGGATGAATGAACTAGGATGCACTGATTTGTTTTAATCATCATTTATGCTAACACCCATCCTGTATTTTTAGTTATTTCATATGTATAGGAAAAACTAATAATTTCTTCAAAATTTGTAGTAAAACGAACACAACAATGTGTACATTTATATCCAAATAATAAAAAATAGAAAAGGAAAAAAGTGAAATTTACATATCAGATTAATTAAATAAAAAGAATACACTTTTATTTCTCGAAAACTCAAAGTCATCCTATTCCTATCCTGGTACAGGTTGAGCACAGAGTTCTGTTAATAACTAAATGCAATATCATATCATGCACATGAAAATAAAAAGAATAATGAAAATTATCATAATTGCCAATCATAATACTAGCAATAAGAAAATTACTATTCAACAATGATATCAACAAAACGAAATAAACCTCACATTTGTAGTGGAAATTGAATAGAATAAAAAGGGTAGAAAAATAATCTAAAAGGGTCTATAACAAACTAAAATGAATTCTCGCAACCCAACAATTATAAAACCAAAAAAGAGAAGACAAGAAATTACCAGAGGAGATGTTTGAAGAAGCAATGGCTGATAACACAGTCAGTATAAAAAAGAAACACAAGGTTAACGCATGTTTGACGATCGTATGAACCTTGAAGGGTCTGTGGTTTGTAGAAGAGTAATGCAGAGACGCCATGGCTGCGAGCTTGCAGTCAGATAAGCAAGCAAGCAAGTAGGCCACGCAACTCTGTGTGTGCGCCTTTCTGGTAATTGCTGCCAACTTTTTGCTGTGTTCACGCTTGTCAGTTTTGTGGCCCTCGAGTGTTTGGGATGTGGGCTCCAAAAACTCTGGGCCACAGGCAAGTAGGAAAGAGAGTGGATCGGGGCGACACAAAAGAGTAGTCTCCATCCGTGCCCTTTTTAAAAATATTCTTTTTCCGTCCACTCCCGTTATTGTCCCACCCGCCCGGGGGGGGGGGGGGGGGGGGGGGGTCAATATATGTCCTTGTCTTCCAGGTAAATTTTGATTTTATCTTTGTCTCTGCTATTGTTTTTGTTTTTATCTATAATAATTAATTTTTATAATTATAAAAAATTATTAAATTTTAATATTTAATGCAAAGATGCTATCACCAACACATGATATTTAATTGATACCACTTATTAATCATTACAAATAATTAAAACAATGAACTTGTTTTAATTAAATGTGGTAGTCAGTAGATTTAATGATTATTGATTGGTTTATTATTATTATTATTGATTGGTTCATTGAACGTATTCGGTAGTTTTAAATTAAATTATATAATTATGTATAAAAGATGACGTGTTATTATCTGAAAAGGCTCAAAATGACTACGTATGTGTTTGACGTATTTTGGGATTACGAGAGTGTCAAAATTTAATTGGACTTAAGATCCAAAACATGTACGACCTTACCTACTTGAATTAGTGTGAGGTTCTAAAATCATGACTATTCAGACGATTATAGCGTGACGTAAGGCTATATTTGAATTCTTTTTTGTGTCTTAGGGTTCAAGTATTTTAAATAATTTCACAACCAATAGCGTAATGAACTAAAATGTAGAAAGAAAAAATGGAACGTAAAGCAACAGATAAACTAGTTTTGGAAGATAAAATGAATATTGTACTTAACATTAAATGAAAGCAGTAAAGATCTCTGGAGTAATGAATTAAACGAGAGAGTAAAATTGCTCGAAAATAAGAAACAAGTAACTAAAAAAGAGGATGACTTTGTGTAGAGTTTGTTGTGTTTAATCATGGATTCCCTCTCTATAGTCTTGCTTTGGTTATTCATAGGGATGATCTTCAACCATCGCAGCCAACTTTTCCGGCCATAACTATAATCATGGCCTTTTCCTCGAGATGTGTAGACGTGTATTGAATCACCTCCAATTGATGGCTCATGATGTCACATCTCCTTGTTTCTTGGGATTTTCAAAGTCTCACTTCCTTAAACTGATCTATCAAGTATGGACTCTCACAGACTCTTTTATGAGCGTTGGATCTCTTCGATGTGTCACCTTCATATTTAACTATTTTTGGGTGTAAATAGTGTGATTAGACTATTTAATGAAGACACATCATAAATCATGTGATGGAAGGCCATGTGGTAAATAGGCACATGAACAAAGGCAGAGTACCTCTACCAGAACTAGAAAACCACGTGGCTTATAAGCCCTTGACCAAATAGAATGTCTCTGCATAGGCTAGGGATCATCCAACCAAGCGTTGACCCTATATTTGATTAAGTAAGTTTGGATGATCATAAACATTCTTATATTACTAATCATCTTTGGATGAGTTTGGTTTTAAAGCATTGTACAGGATTTATGAGAAAAGCTTCAATGAGTAATGTGTGCATGAGTTAAATTCTCAATTGGATAATAAAAGATCCAAAAAAATGAAGAGAATTAGCATTGGTAAATTAGTTGATTGAAGACGAGAAGAATTGGATGGAATGAGCATGAAAAGCTTAAGCAACAACCTCGTTAGTTTGATCATTGTAAATGGAGAATGTGAAGAGGTTAATGATCTTACTTATACGATCCTTGTTAAATTTAGGAAGATAATTATGTTTCTTAAGAAGAATAGTTGAAAGATTAAGATAAAGGAGTGAAGAGAAATAAGTTAAGTAGAAAGAATATTTAAATTAGTAGATTTGACATAGTATCAATTATGTCAACTCAACGTTCTACTTTGATGTTTAATTAACTTGATTCTTGTTGATTTAGAAAGAAGACTTTAAGATCTACAAGTTTGTGTGAAATAATAATTTTCAGATTTTGAATGTCTGCGAGGTGAACAATGGCACGAAAGTTGAAGGTAACACATAGATGCTAATAGTAGGAGAAATAGACATATTTTCAATAATTTGGACATAAATTTTTACTCCAATATCTAAATGACCTGATTCAAAAAGATTAACAAAAGACTTCAAGGGCTAGAACTTTGTATGAAATTGATTTTGTCAGATTCAAACGTTTAGGGTCAAAATGGGCTTGGAAGTTGAGGGTTGTGCACAACACTCGACAACCAAAAAAGAGATTCAAAATTCCAAATACAACTCTAGAAAAACAAGAAGCCTTCTAGAAGCCTATCTAAAATTTCGGAAGGCCTTCCGGATGCGTCTATTGGAGCTTCTAACGACTAGTTTTTTTCCACATTTTCTTGTGCATTTTTGTCAACCCCCACATGTTTATCTTAATATAGTGACATAATTATTTCTTATTACTTATATATGTTGATAATGATAGATTTCGGTTTGAGCCACCCATCCAAAGCCCAGAACACCCAATGGGCCCCCTTGGTTATGTGGTAGCCCAAACGGCCAATCCATAGCCTGCCCACCCCACCATAGGAATAGGCCACAACCTAAGGAAGGAGTCCAACAAAGTCCAGATCAATATATGCTTGCTCAGCCACATCAAGCTGGGCGGAGATCGACTCGGGAACAAGGAGCTCGGTATTCGTTAAGATCCCAAGCATCTCCTGTCGTGCCACGTGTCTAGGGGACAAGGGGCAGCCTCTAGAGCCCCTAACGAACATGCACTCCCTGATAAAGGGAATATTTGTATACATACCATTTTAGGGATCGTGGGTACAATTTGCGTCAGGGTAGCAAACACCACTACAAGACAAAAGAAGAGGGGACCACAAAATTAGCCAAGGAAAGGCAGGAATCTTAGAAAACCCTAGATAACCACATGTATAAATAGAATGAAAATGCACTATATAAGGGGGTTACACACATATATATATATATATATTCACAGTATACTGTATACAAAGCCTCTAAGCCAAGAAACTTTATGTAATCTTCTTCTTCAAGTAATATAAACTTCAATGAACAAAAGTCTCCATTAAAATGGATGTTGTGACGCCCCTAAAAACCAGGGGTTCCTTTTTGAACCGTTGACCACCCGTCAACCCGGCGGAAATGCCCGTGCTTGTCGCATGACCTGACATCATGTCAATCATATCTCCTTAATCGGGATCATAACCCACACATATAACCCGTATTTCTTTAATCACTTAATTCAACGGAGGTCCAATGTGCCTCAATATACCTAATTTAATGTCCCTTTTGTATCATTTGAACTAAAGAAAACAAAGCTCAAAAGGTTGGCAAAACAATTTTAAATTTTCAGATTTTTGGAAGAGCTACCGATAGGTGTTTGTTAGACTTACCGGTAGAAGTTCTACCTGAAAGCTACCGGTAGCTATTTCCTACTGGACAGGTACTACCTGTTAGCTATCGGTAGGTTTTGCCTATTGGATGGGTACTACCTGTTAGCTACCAGTAGGTTTTGCCTGTTGGACAAGTACTATCTGTTAGCTATCGGTAGGTTTTGCCCAGAATTTTTATGTTTCATCAGTTTTTCATTTTCAATTCATCCCAAACCTTCCCAAATCCATCCCAAGCATGTATAATGAAGTTTTCTACATTATACACAATGTATACGAGTTATATTACATGCATTTACAAAATTTACATGTCAAAACGGCATTTAACCAAAGTTTTACAAAAATTTGTTTCCAAGAGTCACAATCTGGCTTTTCTTCAATCTCGAGGCCCCAAATGCGAGTCCTCCGTTGGTATTAATCCCGCACCTGAAATGTTTTCCGTATAGGGTGAGCCAACGCCCAATAGAACATTTCCTACAGAGGCTACTTCCCACCTAAATGCATATGCAATGATCTCATGCAACAATAATTAACATAACTTCATTT